CCCGGTCAAGAGCTTCCCCCACTTGCTGACGATCTGGCTAATATGGTAGCCCAGGCCCACACGGCTACGCAGGCGGCGTCCACAGACACTACCCCGGTCGAGTCTCTACCGGTTAGTAGCATTGCCCCGATCTCCTCTCCCACAGCCCCTCTACCCGTGCTATTCCCGCTTGCTAGGGTCTAAAAATTAGCGGCGTAAATGGCTACAATTCTGCATCAAATCCAGCTGTGGATGTAGAGGTCTATTACCGAGGTAGAAGAGAGCTTGGAGCGGAAAATTGTCCAGCATACAGAGCAGAAGATCACTGCGGTTCACCAGCACTTCGAAGCTTTTGAGTTGCGGGTGCTAGCACGGCCAGCCCCTCCGGTGGATGTGTCGACTCTTCAGGCTGTGGTCGACAGTCTTCGTGCAGATATTTACACTATCTTAGAGGCTAGGGTGCCTGAGTCTGAGGCCCCTTCTGGCGATCATGCTAAAGGCACAGTTTTGGTGGCCCTATTCGCCACATCAGAGATTCAACCACTTGCCCCTCGAGAGCATGACAAGAGGCGTAGGGGTCGAGCAAAGGACGAGGCGCGAGCACGGAAAAAGGAGTGTCGTTAGCTGAAAGCTGTGAGGAGAGCCTCACTTGCTGAAGAGGAGGCACGTTACATGAGAGAAGGAGAGTTAGCGGCTGGGGTGTCTAGCTCCCGAACTGTGGAGATAGCGGGAGGCACAGCTTATAGTGCTGTTTTTGCTGAGGACACCACTGAGGGTGTCCAGATTAAAGAGGAAGTCAGTTCCGGGGAACCGAACCCACCAACTTGCTGATCGTCGGTGCTTTCCGCCACATGTTTGCTTCACCTACAACTCTAGTATTTTGTTTTTTTAATGCATTGGGGACAATTTCATGTGGGGTAAATGGAAAGTGAGTGCTAGGGTGATGTTTGAGTAGCCCAGTTCATTATCCTCTTCTGGGGTTTTCTTGCCTATGTTCTTTTTCCCCAAAAGACTGATTACTTTTTCTGTTGAACCGGCATGTCTATATCTTGTGTACATAGTTAAATTTTGGAGCATGATGGTTAAAATGATATCATAATAAAATTGCTAATGATGCATGACTAAGCATATAAATTAATAAGAGTATTGCTCTAAGCATGATATAGAGGTACACCACTTCATTACCCTAAGTCTAAAGTTCGAACTAGGTGTCTGATAATCTGGTAGAGTGATGAGATTTCAAGTGAGTGTGAGGAGAATTTGAATAATCTATTATTTGTACTGAGCTAGAACTTGTCTCGTTAGTCCTGCTAAAAATAAGATGTAATAGACAATTAGGAAAGGATCATAGGACCTTATTCAATGTAGCCCATTTTTAGCCTAAATAAAAGAGAACCAAATGAAATTTATCCTTGTTTGATCCAAATGATCTTAGCTTTAATTAGACCTTTCTTTTTAACCCCAACTGATCTTTTCTGGAAATATAGTGTTCGCCCTGGTCCATCCTTGGACATGTGCACCTCAGCTTATGCCAAAAGCATAAGTTGAGGGTGGCTAATGCAGTAAACAACCTTTGTTATGGCCCTGACTCAACTTTGGGTATTGTGTACATTGACTCATGGCAAAGCCATGAGTTGAGGGTGGCTAGTATGAGGAATGCTCTTGAAAGTGGGGTTGAAATAACAAAGAGAGATAAAGAACAAAAGTAAAGTCACTCAAGAATTATTTAAAAGAAAAGTAAAGAAAAATAAAAATATACAAGAAATACAAGCAAGAAAAAAAGAGAGTCACTTACAAAAATAAAGAAAAAAGAGAAAATAACAAGGTGAAAGTATATGAGTAACTGGGCGAGATAAAATGATAGAAAATGGTATGTTTAGCGATTTGTCAAGGTGGTTAAAAAGTCACTAACGTATACCTAAATATACCCTACCTGACCCTGAGCCTATAATACAAGCTAAGAAAGTCATATCGTGATCGTAAGAGTTGTATAGCGAAATTAAGGCAGCGAAAATAAAGGTAAGCTTATGGCAGTATGTATGAATGAGCGTAAATTTGTTCTGAGAGCGAGTGTTGAAAAGTAATCCTTATACTCAAACTAAAATCATTGTGTGAAAAATGAGCATTTTGTTTGAAAGTGAGGACACTAGTTGCAATACATAAAATATTATCACCTCGGTGATAAATTGAAGAGGATAGGTGTTAGTGCATGGTGAGTCTGTGTCATGCTCTCATCCCACATAATTAAAGCGTAATAGTGATAACATGCATAAATATGATGAGATTAATCGGGATTGATAGCCAAATGATTGCAAAGGATAAAACATGGGTACTACGTTACAAAGATTTTGTATTAAGTCATAGTTCGTCGCTTAAGGGCAAACAACGAATTTATGTTGAGGGTGTTGATATACCTTTTTTCACGGTATTATTAATACTTTTTCCTTAACTTTAGTGTGTCCAAAAGCCTTTTTGTGCTAATTTTTATATAAGTTTCTCTTTATTTGCCGAAAATCTGTCAAAAGATGAATGCGGAGATTTTGAGTGAAGAAATGCAGAAGAGACCACCTATGGAGATTGTGACGGTCTGTCATGCTTGTGATGGTCTGTAGGTAGTAGCATAGTGCAGCTGCTGAAGGAAGATGGGGAAGTCTGATCATGTGTGGGGTTACGGAGTCCATGACGGTCCGTTGTGTCTATGACGGTCCGTCCTGCAGGTTCGTCATGAAGTTCAAAGAAGGAATCCCAGTACCCATATTCCAAGAGTTTAAGTGTTTTGGAAGAAGACCCTCGACGGACCGTTGTGTCTATGAGGATCCGTCATACTTGACGTTGAGGGTAATTAAGAGAGCAGATGAATAAATTGCACAAGTATGGGTTGACAGAGTCCATGATGGTCCGTCCTGACCACGACGATCCGTCGCGAGGTCTGTTTACCCAGCCACGTTTTGATAGATTTCTAGCATATAGAGTCCTTGTTTAATTAGGTTTTTATTTTCTATAAATAATTCGAAAAACCTCGTTTTTAAGGTTAGACACAGTATTGTGAAACTCTGTATTATTAGTGATTGTTGGTGATTTTTGTTGATTAATCAAGCAAACTTTTGGATTTTACTCTTTCTAAATGAAGTAAGTACAAGAATTCTTATATAATATATTTGAATACTGTGATTATGACTATGGGTAACTAATCTCCATAACTAGTGTTTTGGGAACCATAAGAAAATAATTAGGTAAAACCTAACTAAATTAACAATTTTAGAATAGTGTCTTGCATGTATTAATAATTCTTTCGCTTAGAATTCTTTTTAACAGATGTCCAATGTTAGAACTCGCCTTAATGCTACTTGCCGGACCAAGGAGGTAGATAATAGGAAAAGAATTATCAACATAGATTTAGTGTATACTATCTAATAGGCTAGTATTGATTGGTACGAGGTAATAACTTAGTCAAATATCGAATACGATACTTAATATAAGGTAAAGATAAAGGCTAGGATAGCAACACACGTAGCCGGACCAAGGTTCGGAGTGAGATTTTCTAGATGTCAGGCCAAGGATTTAGAAATACGTAACTTATCACATTGCATGCAAGATACGAGGAAAGAATTGTTATAGTTAGAATCATCAAGTTATGAACCTGTGGGAACACATAAACCCTAGTTACTTTGATTAATCGATTAAACTCAAACATTCGAAGCTGTTAAGTGTCTCTTTCAATTTCGTTAGTTATTTTCATTCATTTAGAAATAGAAACCCCCCTTTTTATTGTTTTTTTTTCAAGGAAGTAATTGAGCGAACAATAGTAAAAATAGGTTAAATTTAAGTCTAAACTATTTTCCTCGTGGGAACGATTCTAACCACACTAGTTGGGTTATTTACTTGACACGACCGCCTTACTTCTTATTTGAGAAGTAAGTTTGAGCATATCATCCGCCTTTGTATATTATTCTTGAGAATTTAGGTCAAACGTAGTTCAAATACATAGAAATATTAAAGGGATAAATGTTGTAATCGAGGCCGACATAGACCACCTACGTATCTCATTCTTAAGAATTTAAGTCAGACGTAGTTCAATACAAGAGTGATATAACTTTAACCATAATAATTACAAACAAATAAAGCAATTATAGGGAAATAACATAAATTTAAACTGAAGCTTAGCACGTAGTATCTCCTGAAAGCATCTAGTTGATTGGTTTCGGCCACGCGGAACCTTCCATCTCTCATAAGACCAAAGCGCCTCCTAATAATAATATCCGAACCATGTAGGTTCCTTTCCAATTTTGTGCAAATATTCCTTTGTACTAATCTTGATGAGGAAAAATGTGCTTATGGACCAACTGAACGATTTCAAAAATTCTTTCTCTTACTCTCTTGTGAAAAATGTGAATCATTCTTTGTTGATATAGTTGACCATGAAATATGGAAACCATTCTCTTCTCGTAGATCAATTTCAACTGGTCAATCTGTTTGCTAACCCACTCAACTTTACTCAATTCTACTTCTTTGATGATTCTCAAGGAGGGTATCTTTACTTCAGCAGGTATTACTGCTTCCGTTCCATAAAAGAAAATATGGAGTATGTCAAGTTGATTTTCTAACAGTCGTTCGATAACCCAAAAAACCATACGTCAACATCTCATTCCAACCTCTGTGATTGTCTATCATTTTTGTAATGATCTTCTTGATGTTCTTATTGCAGCCTCTACAACTCCATTGATTTGAGGACGATAAGAGGTTGAGTTTTAATGAGTAATTTTAAACTGCTCATATATATCTCTCATCATGTTACTATTTAGAGTTGCACCATTATCAATAACGATGCATTCTAGCACTCCAAATCTGCATATTAGATTGTTTCGAACAAAATTAGCTATAACTTTCTTTGTCACCGACTTGTATGAAACTTCTTCCACCCACATAGTGAAGCAATCTATAGCAAAAAAAATGAATCTGTTACCATTGAAAGCGGCTGGCTTTATCGGACCGATGACATCCATGCTCCAAACTACAAACAGCTAAGGTAAACTCGTAACATTAATTTCATGAGGCGGCACTCGAATCAAATCACTGTGCACTTTACTTTTGTGATATTTCTGCACAAACATGCAACAATGATTCTCCATACATGTCCAAAAATAACCGGCTTGAAGGATCTTTCTTGATAAAGTTGGCCCATTCATATGCGTGCCACAAACTACAGCATGTACCTGTTCAATTAGTTTTGCAACTTCAACAACATCGACACACTTGAGAAGACCAAAATCGGGAGTCCTCCTATAAAGGATTTCTCAACGTAGAAAGAAATTGAGAGCCATATGGCATATCAACTTCTTTTGGTTGGATGTAGCATCTTCAGGATAAGTCCCAGACTCCAAATACCTCTTTATATCAAAATACCATGACAAACTGTCCGATTCTACTTGAACATGTGAACAAAGGACTGGATGTTCTTTCAGCTCTATATCTAGAGGATCAATATAATCAGTATCTGGATATTTGATCATTGAAGTAATGGTGGAAAGAGCATAGGCCAACACATTGTGTACTGTGGGAATATGTCTGAACTCGATCTTACGTATTCTTTTACACAACTTAAGTACAGATTGCACGTAAGGTATAATCTTTGGGTTCTTCATGGCCCACCCTCCTTGAACATGATGAATCAACATATCTGAATCTCCAATAACCAACAACTCGTGGACATTCATGTCGATGGACAATTTAAATCCAAGAATACAAGCTTCATACTAAGCTATGTTGTTCGTGCAATTCAATAAGAGCTTAGCTTCCATGGGATAGTGTTGAAAAGATTCTTACACTATGACCGCATTAATACCTTTACCTTGGTAATTTACCGCTCCATCAATGAGCAATCTCTAGCCAAGATATATTTCAAAAAATATCTTCACTCACAAACGATACTTATTGATTGTGAAATAAGTCTTGAGCGGTTCATAGTCTTTTTTCAATAGGATTTTTTGCAAGATAATCATCCAAGGACTATGGCTTTATCGCCTTTTCAGTCACTTACACAATATCAAATTTGCACAGCAACATTTGCAAATTAGCTAGCTTTTTGGTCGGCATTGCCTTCTGGAAAATATAATTCAGCGAGTCCATTATAGAAAAGAATTATATAGTATAATAAGACAAATAATGTCTCAACATCTGGGCACGCCAAGTATAAGCACAACACATTTTCTCCTACATACTATAACGATACTTGTATGGAGTAACTTCTTGGTTATGTAATAGATAGACCTTTCCTTCTTTTCTTTCTTTTTGTGTTGACCAAGAACGCATCCGAATGAACTATCTGAGATTGACAAATACCGCAAAAATGGACTCTTTTCTCACGAAGTAACCAATACCAGTTGATTGGACAAATAGTTCTTGATAGTATAAAAAAAAGTCTGACACTCTTCAGTCCACTTTGTCGAAGTGTCTTTCTTCAATAGCTTGAAGATAGGTTCAGACACCACAGTTCATTTAGTTATAAATCGAGTTATATAGTTCAACCTCCCTGAGATACTCATCACCTCCTTCTTAGTCCTTGAAGGAGGTAACTCTTGAATTGACTTAATCTTGGAAGGATCAAGCTCAATATCTCTTCTGGTGACTATAAATCCCAACAACTTGTTGGCTGACACCCCAAAAGCATATTTAGCATAATTTAACTTCAAGTTATACCGACACAGATGATCAAAGAATTTCTTCATATCCGTCTTGTGGTCCGAACTCTCCCGGGACTTAATTATGATGTAATCTACACATATCTTGATCTCCTTTTGAATCATGTCATAAAATATGGTCATCATAGCCCCCATAAAGGTAGCACCAACATTCTTGAAGCCAAATGGCATCACCATGTAATGATATATACCCCATGGCGTAGTAAAAGCTGTCTTTTGTGCACCTTCGTCGTCCATAAGGTTCTGATGATAACTTGCGTAACAATCCACAAATGACTGCATTTCATGCTTAGATCAGTTATCAATTGGAATATGAATGTTTGGCAACAGAAAATTATCCTTAGAACTAGTTTTTTTGAGATCTTTGTAGTTGACACAAATTCTGATCTTCTCAACTTTTTTGGCGACTGAAACAACATGGTCCAACAAAGTCGGATATTGTGTCACTTCCACCAGTCGATACTCAATTTGCTTTGCCAGCTCTTTTTTATCTTTAAACTCAATTTGTCCTTGAACTTTCAAACCATTTTCTTTTCCGAACTAAACCCTGGATTGATCTAACATTTATGAGCCACAACATTGGTACTCACCCCTAGTATATCATTTAAATTCCAAACGCACACATCAATTTATTTAGCGAGTAAATGAATTGTATCCTTTCTTTGAGTTACATTTAAGTGAACACTAATTTTTGCCTCTATGACACATTCTTGGTCTCCCAGATTTAAAGATTAAATTTCCTCTAAATTTGGCTAATGGTGATTTTCAAATTGCACAAACTCTTAAGCAATATATTACACTGCCTGATTTTCCTCTTTGTATTCATCAACCCCTTTATTACAACCCTCATTTTGTTTGTTTAGCTCGTGAGATGACATGACATTCACAGGTTTAAGACTTATATTTCTGAAACCATAAATAGGCAAAGGTAGGGAAGTAGAATATAGCAAATAATTAAGAAAAGTTTCAATAAAAGGGGCTTTTAATTAAATTGGGAAAACAGCACAAACTTTGGCCATGGTAAGGTCCATGTTGCGTTTTAAAAAATCACAAGAAAATTTGAAAGTTCAATTAAGTAAAATGATGCATCTCGGGCCTCTTCCGGACAACCACCGATTTAAATATGCATCAATGATGCAATTCTACCAAGGATTTCGGAGAATCTGGGCATGGAGTTCTAATTCTACAACATCCACCCGAGCTTAACATCACGAATACATACTAGCTCGACCACTTTCTCAATAACAACATCGATCTCCTCGAAAAATCCACAGATTGGTTTTCCAAGGTCATCATTCTTGGCAGACTCCAGGACTGGGTATGATTGATAAAAATGTGAGATCGGCTTAGACAATACTTAATCATTTCTCTTCTTCATCTTCACATAATCATTTGTGGGGGTGTACCCCAATCTATATGTAGCTACTTTGACGGGGACTAGAATAGGCTCAACAATCATTTGGCAATTCCTTCCCAATCCAAAACCAAGTTCTAACCCATTGTGCAGCAACGCCGTGGGATCATCTTGTATACAGAAGGCATAGGAGACTCTGGAGCTAAATCGTCATTGGTGGTATTTACCATCTCCACCCTATGGAAATCTATACCTCGTGAAACTTCATTAATAATGGAGATTTGGCTGCCGGAATGACTCCCTTTGCCGCGAATAAGCAGTTCTTCGTCCTTCCAAATAAATTTCATTATCTGGGGAAGAGTACAAGGCTTAACCTTAGCCATATGTATGAAAGGACTTCCCAGAAGAAGATTATAGCTGGTGTCGATGTCCAAGAAATGAAACTGTGCACTGAACTCTATCGGGCCCACTTGGATGATCATATTTACCTCTCCAAACATGTTTCTCTGTATTACGTTGAAGGCCCTTACATTGAATTAATTTTTTTCTAGCTTCCCCAAGTCAAACCTTAACTGCCTCCGTGTGAACAACGGGCGAACGTTCAGAATCCATCATCCACCAAGACGCTATTTATAACCTTGTAGTGGCATACGACAATGATGAGCAATGCCTTGTTGTGCGACCTCCCTTCAAAAGGAAATTTATCGTCACAAAAGTCAATCCAATGCCCTGGATAACTTGGTTGATTAGAGACGCCACGTTATCATTGCTTGTGCCACGGGCGTACGTATCATCAACAACCTTCATCAAGGCTTGTATATGATATTGGGAGCTTATCAGTATGTCTCACACAGATATCTGGGCTGTAGTTTTCTCCAAACGCTTAACAATTGAATAATATTTTGCCTGGATCATTCTCCAGAATTGCTCTGCTTAACAATCGCTTATAGGAATCTTTCTTTGATCATTCTTCTGTCCTCCAGAAGACAACTCTTTGGGAGAATAAGACCTCCCAGATCAGGTCGTACCCTGAGCGGTAGAGGTTTCAATCATGAACTTTGGCCTAGTAAGATCTTCGAATGGCACCAAGGCAACAACCTTTGCAGTTGTGAGGATCGCGGAATCCTTTTTCTATTTGATGCTCAGCGAGGCCACATCCCTTTCCAATTCTTCATGGACAATTAGAGTTATCATTTTAGTTACGGACTAGTCATCATCCGTTTCTATCATGCTTATGCCTTCATGATTTTGGAAATTATTGGTGTTGACATTGGGCGCGGCTGCTTGAAGAGAAACCACCTCTTGGTCTACCAGATCTCGAATATTGTGCTTGAGGTTGATGCAGTCCTCAATATCATTCTCTGACATAAGTGGCCTTACCCTAGCTGCTTCCTTTCTCCACCTATAGGCGAACTCTCTATAACTTTCAGTAGATTTTTGTTTCATCTTATCCAAAGATTATCAAACAATAAATTCCTTGGCCGAGGCATTCCAACTGAGCTATCCCTGCATAGACTTCGACTCAAGATCCGCATCAATAGAGCTTCATCTCTACCAACCCCGACAAGTTGGTCATAATAGGCCCTCAGATGGGACATAGGATTCCCTATTCCTTTTGAAGTATTAATCGTGGGAATCTTGAACCCTTCTGGGAGGTCCAGATTCGGATAAATGCAAAAATACTCATAGTTTAAACAAGGTATGTCAGAGATGCTTTCAAATTCTTTTATTGCTTTTCTGATTTTTTCTATATATCCACTTTCCCTTCTTCCTTCACCCTTCATTCTCTTTCATTTTCCTTTTTGTTGTCCAGCTCAAAACCATGCACGTCGTGCTTAGTTGGGATGAGAATCTGGAAAGTTGTTTTTTTAGGTAGAGGTGGAGCTACGGAAGGTCTTAGGGCATTCTAGGTAGTCTGGTAGTGTTGCTTATAAGTATGAAGATTGGTATTTGGATTTAAATGGTAGTGGAGTGTTTTGGGATTGAAAGTATATTATCTTTTATTTTGTGGTGGTGGAGCGGTTTAATGTTGGGTATTTTGAGGATGAGAGACATTTGGGCGTGGTTGTTTTGAGGAGGTGGTGTTTTGTATGAAGCTGAATCATATAGGGGGTATTGAGCAGTAAGGTCTACGATGGAAGGATTCTGAGAAGGTGTTGATGGCAGATTCTGAGCTAGATACATGTTTAAAGAAGAAAAGTAAATAGGAGGTCTTCCATTAGCAGCATTAATATTAAAACCTAGTGGAGGCAGATCTAGTCTCCTTTTACATCTCCACCCTCATTTCCACAATCTGTTGCATTATTAGAAGAATCAATTCATTCTTGTCCACTATGGTGGGTTGAGCCACCACAACGTCAATGAGAATTACTATTTCATTGTTATCTTCCAATTATGCTATCCTTTGTTTGAATCTTTTCTGGGAAAGAAATATAAGGGACCTTTGGATCTGGTAAAATAGGGATGATCTGCCAGCTTAATTGACACATATCAGTTTTAAAGTACCTGAGGAGGAAAAAAACTTAAAGGCAGATTTGTCAGTATGAATTCAGGATACCAAATCCATAATATCACACAGAGAGCTAGGAAAAACACAAAACTTGTGTTGTTTGAGGACATCTTCAACGCACGAGTAAGGATGGAAACAAATTTTCAACAAGTA